TGTCAGAATTCGAGTCTGACACAAATGAAGTGTCAGAATTCGAGTCTGACACAAAAATCGTGTTAGAATTCGAATTTATTCCAGTAAAAGCTGACACACAATAACAATTATAACTACTGTACACAGAAAAGGGGGGTCTTATGATAATTAGAGTCCCCCTAACCGTTCAAGAGTCCCGGGGGACCTTCTTACCGGCGGGTCTTCTAGCCGGAACTATACGATATCATATGCATGCATACAACACACAAGAAACAGGTGGTGGTACGGTGAAAAGCTTCGACTAGTTGCGCCTCAGCTTGCTCCTCTGCTTCACCACTGAAAAATAGGGGAGTGGAGTAGGCAGAAAGATTCGTGTGAAGGAACATAGGGGAGGTGGTGTGAGTTCAAGGAACAACGGCAGGGATACACACAAGCGCACATAATGAAAGCATGTATGGGGAGACAGTGATGGGTGCACATGCACGAGAACCAGAGGATGGAATGTGAGGAGTTAGGGGGACGGGGAGGGCATGAAAAGGAAGGGAAGGGTTGAGAAGGGCTGGGGAAGGGAAGGGCGGAGCAGGGAGGAAAAGGCAGGGATTGGGAGGGCAGGTGGGAACAGGGCAGAGGGTAGGGGAAGGAGGGCTGAGGGTGGTGGGAAGGAGATTGAGAGTGCGAGAGGACGGAGGGAGAGAGTGCAGAAGGAAGAAGAGTGAGAGTGTGGGAGGAAGGAGAGAGAGAGAGAGAGAGAGAGAGAGAGAGAGAGAGAGAGAGAGAGAGAGAGAGAGAGAGAGAGAGAGAGAGAGAGAGAGAGAGAGAGAGAGAGGGAGAGAGAGAGAGAGAGAGAGAGGGAGTGGGAGAGAGAGAGAGAGAGAGAGAGAGAGAGAGAGAGAGAGAGAGAGAGAGAGAGAGAGAGAGAGAGAGAGAGAGAGAGAGAGAGAGAGAGAGAGAGTGTATGCGGCAGAGCGATAGACAGAGATAGAGAATGCAGCAGATCGATGGAGGGAGAGAGAGAATGCATCAGACCGATAGAGGGAGAGAGAGAACTCGACAGATCGATAGGGAGAGAAAATGAGGCAGAGCGATAGAGAGAGGGTGAGAATGCGGCAGAGCGATAGGGAGAGAGAATGCGGCAGAGCGAGAGAGCGAGAATGCGGCAGAGCAAGAGAGAGAATGTGGCTGCGAGAGAGAGAATGCGGCAGAGCGAGAGAGCGAGAATGCGACAGAGCGAGAGAGAGAATGTGGCTGCGAGAGAGAGAATGCGGCAGAGCAAGAGAGAGAATGTGGCTGCGAGAGAGAGAATGCGGCAGAGCGAGAGAGAGAATGTGGCTGCGAGAGAGAGAATGCGGCAGAGCGAGAGAGCGAGAATGCGACAGAGCGAGAGAGAGAATGTGGCTGCGAGAGAGAGAATGCGGCAGAGCGAGAGAGAGAATGTGGCTGCGAGAGAGAGAATGCGGCAGAGCGAGAGAGCATCGGCGGCAGAGCGATAGATAGAGAGAGAGAATGCGGCAAGGCGATAGATAGAGAGAGAGAATGCGGCAGAGCGATAGATAGAGAGAGAGAATGCGGCAGAGCGAGAGCGAGAAATAGAGAGAGGGAGCAAGGGACGCGGATACATAGAGAGAGCAACGGCAGGAGAGACAAATACAAGAAGAGAAGCGACGGAAGGGGAGAGATATAGCAACGGAAGCAACCTCGATAGCGAGCCCAAAACCGAGCGAGAGAGTAACAGCGACGGACCATCGAAAACGAGCAACGGACAGGAAGAGCGAGAGAATGAGCAACGGAGGCGGACCGATAAAGCGATCAACGGACATGGATGGCAAACGAGAGAGAGAGAGCGGCAGAAGGGGTAGAGAGATAGAGAAAACAGAGGGGGGTTGGGAGAGAGAAACGGAAGCGGCGACATAGAGAGAGCAAAGGAGGGGGAGATAGAGAGAGAGCAACGCGACGGAGAGAGAGCGCAACAAAGGGAAGTGAGAGCGCGAGAGTGCGGCCGACCTCGCAGGCATACCTTTTCGGTAAGGCACGTGAAAGGGCGGGGGATAGCTCGGCGGCAGCAAAAGCATACCTTGTTTTTGAAGGCTGAAATTCTGTGATTTGCAACTTATGGCGTTACCCACGCCTTATCGTCGCGTGCGGGCACGATCAACGCAGCGGACACAGCTGTCGCCGTTGGGTCTATTCTCCGCTTGACACGCGATCGCAGATCCCCACACCACGAGATAGGATCTTTGACGCTCCGTAGGTGTAGATGGTCACGGTGCACACCGAGTCGACACAAATCGCGCGGGATGTCAGTGTAGCTTGCCGTGCCCTGGATCCTGCCGTTGCTAGAGCTGCTGCAGAATTCGTCGCAGCTTAAAGTGGCTCATGAACTATGGCGCGTGCTACTAAAGTTGCGTTAGCACGCCAAGGAAAGGCAGATTCACGGAGTAGAAGGTTGCCAAGTTGTCGAGTGAATTCTGAAGTGAAAATGTTCTGGAGGAGGATGGGATGGAAGGGTGAGGGAGTCGCGCTCGAATAATTCTCAGCTTGCCTATAAAATTGTGAAGGTGAGGGGTTCAAACAGGTGAAGAAAGGTATGTTTTGAGAATCAAACGATACAGAGCGTTCGAGCAGGATTCATACCAGAGGCACCAATAATTGTGGATCCGAAGCGCGTTCTGTTGGCCAGGGCCCAAAATATCAGGGTAAAATGCCCTGATTACCCTGGGGGCCGGCCGTTTTTTCAGAGTTACCCTTTCAAAATCAGGCTTCCAAAAAATTTTTCCTTACGCAAAAAGAGTATGTTTTTTTTTACACTGATAGCGATTTCGGCTACCCTGTCTGTATCAGGGTGCGCTGTACATTACACTGATACAGAATCCTCTGTAGCGAGGATTTTCGTTGCGAAATGGCAAAACTGATCCAATCGCCCACAGGATTTGAACCCGCCACCTTGAGATCTGAATCTGCACATATAACCAACTGAGACACACACCAATAGTTTTTATTGATTGTAGACATTATCTCTATTGTTATACTAGACTGGCAAAACACCCCTTAATCGAGCCACACCACTGCCAGCTGAGCAGAGTTGCGCGTCAAGGACAGCTTCGTGCTACTTTATTGTTACTGTAGAAATTACTAGTAGTGAAAACAGACTAGATATAGAATTACCCTGCCGAAATCAGTGTAATGGTAGATTTACCCTGCTGCCAACAGGGTACGGAAAATTTTACCCTAGGGGTCTGTTCAAGGAGGGGCTGTTACCCTGATTTGTAAGGGTAGGCCAAAACCAATTTTGGGCCCTGCTGTTGGCGCATTGATGAACCGTGGGATGCGGCGCTTTTTGGCATTGAATTATTGTTGCAAAAAAAGATCAAACTTGGCTTATCCATAAGTTGCATCGTCATAGACTATTAGGACTGTAAAATTATAGAGACAATAGCAGCAACAAAAAATACAAATTAACCCAAATCCATCGCTTAATTATTTGACAAGCAAAACAAAAAAGACTATACATAGTACTGAAAACGAACTAATAATCACACCACTTCATCACTAAACGTCATAATATTATACAAACTTAGCCGATACAATCCGTTAACACAAGCCATGGTCGAAAAGTAACAAACAGTCATTAATTTAAACGTAATATTCTATACGACTAGAAATTAATTGAACTATCAGTACTCTTAGATCGTTCCAAGGAAACTGACATGTTGGCAAAAAGGTTACAAAAACAGTTACCAGAACTAGGACGACGTGGCAATAACCCACCGACATTTATACGCAACGGGGAATCTGCGTGGGAAGTGCTGCTGGTTTGCAACATGCCCCACACATCTCCCGATCTATCCCCATATCTGTCCGAAAACGCCGACCAATGAAAACGCTCGACAGAATTGTCGTCCACGTGTAATGTGCGCATCTGCAGAGATATATCGCGATTCAGCGGGGTGGTCGTAAATGTCAAGCAGGGAAGTCGACAATCAGCAGGAATAAACCAGTCGCGGGCCATTTTCAGGTGCAATCTCCATAGTACAGAAATGTGTTCAGGTGCGATCCCAATCTGTTACGGCACTGTTGCGGCTTTATACACGTGCCACAACAGTACCTTCTGCAGACTCGCCACGCACATCTTGTTCAGCTGACGGATTGTCTCTGACACATTCTGACGGAAGTCAAACATACGGCATGGCCAGACCAAACTACCCGAAGCTGTTAAGGCCACCCGAAAAAAAAACAAAATATAACCCCTAGAGAACCTGGAAGCAGTTTCGGTAGGGATCGACCCTAAACACCGGAACCTATCTGGTGTTTAGGGTTGATGCCTCCCGATTCGATTGCGTCCCGATTGGGTTTCATTTTTTTTGTCACGAAAACCTTAAGGAGGCATCGACCCTTAACACCAGGAGTTCACGTGTTTAGGGTTGATCTCCCAAAAATGCTTCCAGGGTCATTAAAAATTTTAATAATTTTGGGGTATGTCTTAGCAATTCCTGGTAGCCTCGGTAAACGAAGCGTGTGTGGCGCATTAATTTCCCATCAATTTCCCTCAGCCAGTACAGATTTGAGTGGCGTATCTTTTCAAGGCTCTGTTCCGGCACGCGTGTACAGTACGCAACAGAGACTTGGAAAGATGCGCCGGGATCACACCTGAACACATTTCCCCAATTGTAGAGATTGCACCTGAAAATGGCCCAACCAGTCGCACATGATGGTTAACTACTGGGAAAAGCCGTACACCTAATTTCACCTCATCGATCATCGAATACCACCAGCCTCCAACACGGAAAATGACCCCTCCCCCCCCCCCCCCCCCCCTCCCCTCCATACTCGGCAGTTTCACATTTTTCCGATGTCCAGGCGTTGGTGGGTCAGCACAGTGTCGTGAAACGTGCTAGTAATTATATTACTTGTAGTCAGTGCCCTCTCTCGCCGGCGCCACTCGCGAATTCAATGGAAGTTCCATTCTCCACCATGGAGATAAAGAACTGACGACGATCGTACGCGCCGACTTTGCCCGTGCGACCATGCGCCGCGCACAGCTATTCCCCGTGACCCTGTGCTGGCGCGCGCTCGCGGTGGCGCTGGTGCTGGCGGGGACCGCGGGGGTGGCAATTGGGAGGGCGGCGGGGCGCGAGGGAGCAGCGGATACGTGGCAATGGGGGGCAAATGGGGGAGACGTGCGGGCGGGTTTGAAACAGCAGGATTTTGCTGCTGCTGCTGCTGCTGCTGCTGACCGTGCTTCTGCTGACCGCGCTTCTGCTGACCGTGCTTCTGCTGACCATGCTTCTGCTGACCGTGCTTCTGCTGACCGTGCTTCGGTTGGCGATGCTGCTGCTGGAAACGCTGCTGAGAACACACGCGAGGAAACAGCAGCGGCCAGCAGCACTGGCGGTTCTGATCGTGCCGTCCATCGGGTGCTAGCGGCAGGTAGTGCGGTCGAGGCAGCATCACCGTCACTACCACTGCCGTCACCCACACTACCGTCACCCTTGCTGGAACAACCGGTGCAGCAAGCCAGCAGCCTCCCACCAGGTGACCTGTCACTCTGCCTCCCACCCAACCTTCTCTCCGTTCCCTGCGTTCCTTGTCGCGTTACTCATGCCGTGTCTAGCCGCCAGAGTGAAGTGGGCTGGGCTATACCTGTGCAAAGTGGCGAGTCGAGTAATGCTCGGCTCGTCCCTAGCATTGCTCGGCCGAGTTTCGAGCCGAGTCGAGTAATACTCGGCCGAGTTTTTTTCCCATAAACCGAAACTCGGTACTCGCCCTTTCAAAGGAAACTCGGGCGAGCATTTAGTGAAGCTCGTCCGAGTACGAGTAATGCTCGCCCCGCTGCCCTGTAACTGCAATATCAGGGGCCCTCACAATTACCACGAACGCGTGCAGCTAGCTAATTAAAGCTCAAGCCTAAATTGCGGGCCGCGCTGGGCAAGATTACTAATCTTGCTCAGCTGTGGTTTTGGTGCTGTGTTTTGACGAATGTTGGGTTACGGTAGGTGCGAATGAATCTGATTGGTCGAGGCCAATCTCACTGCAGAAACTTCAACTTTCAGTATTTCTCAATTTGGGACTCTCGGAACCGAACAGACTGATTGCCTTGGGGTTTGCTGACTCAGCGAGTGTCGCGAGAGCTTGTGCGAAATAAGTCAACCCCACCCTCCCAACACTTTCTTGACCAGCCCAAACCCTTGCGCAAGATTACTAACCTTGTGCAATTTGGGCCTTGAGCTTTAAGGAATATCGGAGTAGACTTGCGGGGAAGGGAAGGGGGTTGTGTCCTGACGGGATCTGAAATTGGAACGGGTGGTTGGGTTTTTTGTAGATTCAGTGCGGTGAACAAAGGTAAGTGGTGGCGAATTAGTTGGGAACTCAATACGGAAAATCGTCGGCGAATTAGAGTAGTCGGGGGAGCTTTTGCTCGACCAAAGCAAAACCTATTTTGAGCATAGCCCTTGACACGACATGTGGCAGACATTGCTGATCTGCGCGGATCGGCGGTCAAAATCGCCGATCCGTGCAGATCCGCGGGCGAAATCGCCAATCCGCGCGGATTGGCAATCGAAATCACCGATCCGCGCAGATCGGCGGGCGAAATCGCCGTTTTGCGCGGATCGACGGGCGAAATCGCCGATCTGCACGGATCGGCGGGCGAAATAGTGCCCGAGTACTCGTCGAGCAAAAACAACTCGGCGAGTAAAACTCGGCTCGACTCGGACGAGTAAATTTTCCAAAAATCAAAACTCGTTACTCGCACCCAAACGAGTAACTCGGCCGAGTCCGAGCGAGTAACTCGTCTCGTTGCACAGGTTGAGGCTGGGCTCTTGACGAGTTATTTGTGTGCAACCTTATACGAGCCAGGCGCAGCAGCCGCAGTGTAGTACGGGTTACATTACAGAAGATTCTATGGGGAGAGAGAATCACGATGGGGATGTGAGGGTGCGTGCTGTGAATCAGAATGGGGCTGTGATATGAGTGTGTGGGGTGAGCACTGAGCTGGGTGGAATGGGCATTGGGCAAGACGTGGCCCCTGGGCTGCTCTGAGATGAGAATGAGGATGAGGATGAGGATGACCAGCAAGGCCAGCAAGGCCAGCAAGACCTCCCTAAGCCATGACAGTTCCTCTGCAGCAATGCTAAAGGGCGGAAAACATGGCAGTTCCTCCTTCCCTTCTCTCTCCTCCCTCCTTCCTCCTCCTGCTTCCCTCCTCCCTCCTCCCTCCTCCCTCCTCCCTCCTCCCTCCCCTGAATTCCCAACTCCCTCAACACCACACCTTGGTCATTCACAAACTGCACCTTCCTTCCTAACGCTCCGCAGTACCTCACACCCCACTTTGTTCCTCCTCTTTGGCTCTTTGGCCTTTCCTCTTTGGCTCTCCTTCCTCCTCAAGTTCTCCTCTCATCATTCGTGTCCGCCCTTCTCTCTCGCCTCTTCCTCCACACCCCCATCCCTCCTCACCACGTAGAGCAGAGTGCAGGGACGGCAGTGCTGCAGCAGCAGTGACAGTGGAGACAGTCCGCTATGACTTTCTCTTTCCAGTCTCCACGTTATTCATTGAACTCTACCCGTACGAGGTATTCCCCTCCCTCCTTTTCACCCTTACAGAACCACTCCCCACGTTATCATGCCTCTCCCTCTTGAACGGTCCTTCGTATTAATGTCATCAAGTACATGCAAGGTAAGGCAACACATACACACGGCTAAGCTACAGCAGCCATTCACTAACCCAGCCCAACTACTACCGCCCCTTCCCCTTCCGGCCCTAGTAGACAAAGGGGTCTTCTATCAATTGATACAGCTGCCCTTCGCTCAGGGGAGTAAACGGGCCCTGCAGGCCAAGCACATCCACGGTAAGAGCCTCATGGGTCCTATCCCGGAGGGCGTTGGCTTAAGCTCTCTGCAGGGTCACGCTCCATCGGTGAGTAGCTTAGCAGCCTCCCTCGCCTTAGGGGCAGCGTTGAACCGCCGCTTGGCCGCTAGCTCCGCGCAGCTGCGAAGGAAATCGAGTACTCCAGGTGAGGGGTAGCCGTGTGTCTCAACGGCCAATGCATAGAACCCCACCCAGGCGCTCCGCCCGGCATATTTGCTCTCCTTGTCCGCTTGCATCTTTGCTGCCCAACCGGGTGCCTTACGGGCGTGCTCGTCCTGGTGGGAGACGGGGTCTGTGACCGTGATGTCACAAATCTGCACCTCACAGGTGTCGGGATGGCGGATAGAGATATCCGCTTTGAGGTTTTCGACCGGTGAGTAAGCCGTTGTCTCCTTGTGCACTGTGAAGCCTGCTTCAGCCGCTATCTTCGCGCACTCATCCCGCAGAGCATGGTGAGTGGCGATTCTCCCACCGCCCCCCACATTTTCACAGCGCATCAGGTGGTTCGGCAGGCGGTGGTCAGGGAAGGTGGTACGGTATCTGCAGTTGCAACGTCTTGGCACAGGTAGGGGCAAGCCCAGGCGGAAGGAGGCCGCGGTGGAAATCTGAGAGGGCCCGAGGCGGAGGGAAGAGATCAAGGGGACGGCTTGCAACTAGTCCCCCGCCCCAAGGCCTAGGAGGGTCTGCAGCCTCTGCGTATGGCCGGACAGCGGGTTCAGCGCCATGTTTTGCGAGCTGTCCAGCAGCCGAATAAAGTGGGCTGTGTGTACCGCGAGGGAGAGAGCCTGTTGGAGCTTTGGTCCGTTAGGATTTTGTCTCCCCGCTTGAAGAGCCTCTATCCCGTCGGCTTCCAAGGCAGCTCGGCTTCCAAGGCAGCTCGGCTTCCAAGGCAGCTCTGCTTCCAAGGCAGCTCGGCTTCCAAGGCAGCTAGGCGTCTCGGGAGGAGGGAAGTGGACTCCCCGTCGGTATCCATCAGCGGCAGGAGACTTGTGAGGGCCGGGTTTGCTGAGTCGCCGAACGAGCGCAGCAGGTGGGCAGCAGAGACGACCGATGCCAGGTAAGCGAATCCCCCCTCCACTGCAGGGTTGGTGATGCCAAGGCCTCCCGAAGACGCGGGCAGGGCGGTTTGGTGCTAGATCCTATCCCTCTCTGCCCGGTCCCTCCCTGGGGATGGTTGTGTGCGCAACAGCCAGGTATGTGTGGAGCAGTTCTTTCCCCCATGCGGACCGTTCCCCCAACGGCAGGGCCTCGAGCGGCGTGGCTCTGACCAGGAACGATGCGCGGCGACTCACGCAGCGGGTGAGTAGTAGCAGGCAGAGTTGCGGGTCCATCTGGGAGAGAAGCGGGAGCGGTTCAGCTGCTGCAGCAAGGCGTTCCCGCACTCGATCAGCACAGCCAGTGGGGGGCCCGATGGGGCTGCCTAAGACGCGGACACCGTCCAAGGAGATTGCGGGGGGGTAAGGTGGCGTGCTCCAAGGTGGTGGCGGACCATGCTTCGCACTTGGCGGGGTTGTGAGCCAGGCCGTGGCTGAGAAGGGCCTTGTGAGGTGAGTGAATGCCGCCGTGCAGTTCGCCGTCTCGCCTAGCTGAGTGATGTCGTCTGCATACGCGAGAAGCACCACCCCCGGATGAGCAGCCGCCGTTGCAACGAGACAGGGATGGATGCTGGCTGCGAACAGCATGGGTCCCAGCGGGTCACCCTGCCGCACGCCTCGGCGCTCTGTAGAGGCTCTGCATCGAAGTCGTGGTCGAGGTAGAGAACAGATGAGCGGCCGTATGAAAGGCGGACGAGGGAGTGGCACCAGGGAGTCTAGTTTCGTGCCTTTCAGTCCTTCGAACACCGCCGTGCGCTCCACTGCATTGAAGGCGTTTGCCAGGTCGATCTGTAGAGTCGTCGCTCCCGGGATTCCTCCAGGTAAGTGCGTGCTGCTGCGTGTATCGCAGCTTCTATGCCTCCGGCGATCGCAACTCCAAATTGAAGCGGGGTGAAGTGCTCACGTGCCGCGGGAGCTGCTAGAAAAACTGCCGCCTTTGCAATGAGCGCAGCAGACATTCACCTATGGCTATCGGTCTCGTTCCGCCCTGTGGTTTCGAGAAGGCTAGTAAACGCGACGCTGTGAGGACATCTGCCACTTCTGCGTTCAGTTTTCCAGCTAGTGCCGTGTTGGTGAGTGCGTGTAGCTGCAGGAAGACGTCGGCGTTCCCAAGGGCCGCATCTCTCAGGTGCTCCACTCCAAGGTAGTTTCTGAGGGCCCGGCTCCTACGCCGTTGGGGCAACGAGCTAGCAGCCGCCTGAAGTCGCGGGCTGCGATTGAAGGTACAGTCTCAGGGGCGAAGTCTCAGTCTCCCTCCCTCCCTCCCTCCCTCCCTCCTCCCTCTCCCTCTCCTCTCTCCCTCCCTCCCTCCTCTCCTCGTCTCTCTCTCTCTCTCTCTCCTCTCTCTCTCTCTCTCTCTCTCTCTCTCTCTCTCTCTCTCTCTCTCTCTCTCTCTCTCTCTCTCTCTCTCTCTCTCTCTCTCTCTCTTATCTCGTGGTCATCTCTCTCTCTCTCTCTCTCTCTCTCTCTCTCTCTCTCTCTCTCTCTCTCTCTCTCTCTCTCTCTCTCTCTCTCTCTCTCTCTCCCTCTCCCTCATCACGTGGTCACCTCGTGTGGTCACCTCACGTGTGCTTCCCTGCTTTTCACCAACATTCCCCTCCAATCCAACCCTCCACACCTTCTCCTGCGCCCCCTTCTCCCTCCTCCCTCCCTCTCCCCCTCCTCTGGCCTCGTCCTTCCTTCTGCAGGTCATACTGAGCAACACGTGTGGGCAGCGAGCCATTGCTGCACTGAGCATCAGCATGCAGGGTGTGGATCAACGCTCCTACCTGCTCATGCCACGCCTCCTGCCCACACAACGCGACTCTCTCCAAGCCATAACTATCTACAAGGTCTGCCCTCCCTCGCTGCTACTCTCCCTCACTCACTCATCCTCATTACTGTAATTCTCTCCTGATCTCCCTCCATCCTCTGCTTTTTCACTCCTTACTTTGAGGGCTCGATTCACCCTAGGGATATTTACAGTATGCTCCTCCCGCTGCGATGTTGTGACTGCTGCCATTCTGAGTCTTAACTGATTGCTCTGATTGTCAATCGCAGGTACTCCCTCCATTGGGTGCGCCTGATGGTGCCATGATCATCCCACCAGGGGGTTCCTTCAAGTTCACTAGCACGGTTGTGCCGAGCCTCGCCCTCTCTATCTCTGTTTACAGTGCCACATTTTCCCCCTTGCAATTGTAGTTAGTGCTCGTATGATCATGTTGTTCGACGAATCAACTTTCATGGTGCTACATTACATGCATTCACATACAGATCGCCAAGGATATTTGTATACATCTCAAAGGTACCGTAATTGAGCTGGTTGACAAAAGGAATCAGACCTCCACCACACGTACCCATCCATCCAGGCCAGGTTCCTTCAGCACCCATACCACAAAGTGCCCAAGACTGACGCCATTTAGTCCAGTCATAGCACTGTGTACAACCCTGCGTCTCTGAACTTAAAGCGACGGTGCACATTTGCCACCCAAAACCCAGAACCCTGGCGAACTGTTACTGCAGATGAAAAGTGTCTGCACGAAATCCTGGTTTTCGCCAGCCAACACTTTCGCGCTGGCAAGCCTGGTTCAAAAAAAAAACTTCTGAACCCAACACTGCCAAAAGTTGCCCGTCGCTTTAAGTAGGGCTGATAAGTCACACGCTGTGATTAGAGGATTTGGCAGAGGAAACTTTACAACAGGGACTTGAGAATGCAAAACCTTGTGATGTGAGACAGGGGATATGGGATGAAAGACAAACTAAAAGAGGCAGCAGGATACGGTATTGGAAAGTGACATTGGTAAAAAGGCATGAGGCATGTGACCAGTGGAAGAATAATGATGGGGGAGTGAGAATGGGAACATGGGAGTGGGATGATGTCAATGAGATCAAGACAATATGAACATTGCAATAGGATGACGACATGTAGGACGAGGGACAATGGAGAAATAGCACAGCGAATATGACAGTGGGGACAGATGAGAGAGGGAAAATAAAGTGGAAGTTGATTATGGGAGGAAGCACCATGCTTGATGCGCTCGGAACAAGTGAGAGAAATGGTGTAGCAAGCTAGGGTGAGCACAGCACGGTGTAGCAAGGTACGGTGAGCACAGCATGGGTGGGGCATGCGGAGGGGATGGGCGGGGCGGGTGGATGGGCGATGGCAGGCAGCATGGCTGAGAGGGCGTGGGAATGGCATCCCCATGGTGCCACGTACGCATGGCAGGCATGCACGGCAGAATGCAGTGGTAGAGGCAGGAGGAGGCAATGGTAGAGGCAGGAGGATGCAATGGTAGAGGCAGGAGGATGCAATGGTAGAGGCAGGAGGATGCAATGGTAGAGGCAGGAGGATACAATGGTAGAGGCAGGAGGATGCAATGGTAGAGGCAGGAGGATGCAATGGTAGAGGCAGGAGGATGCAATGGTAGAGGAAGAAACTGGCATGGGAGGATGGGTGGGAATGGGCGGATGACAATGGGTAATGAACTGGTGACAGGTCAACCGGCAATTGGGAATCGAACGGCACAGAAGCATGTCAGTGAGAATCCGGCTGGGAAACGATGTTGAGAAATGAACGACAAACGACAATGGGGAAAAGTAGCTGGAAACTGACAACGGAAAGGTGATTGGACAGTATGAACTGAGATTGAAGTAGTGGCAATGGGAATTTGACAAGACAGGTGAAAATGGCAGGACAAATGGCAGTATGCAAAGATTCAGCAAATGACAAGAATGAGTGACTGAACAATGGTAACTTGAAGCTGGATGAGGCTAAAGAAAAGAAAGAATACATAGGGGAAGCTGACTTGAGAATGGCTTACCGGTTGGTGATGCAGAAGTGGACAGAAAAATGAAAACATGTAGTGGACTATCAAGAAGGACACAGAATTGGGGTCAACAGAATGGGGTCAACAGAATGGGTTCATGGGGAACCTGACTGAAAACTGACTGGGAAACCTGACTGAAACCCGACTGAAAAAACTGAAGAAACCTGACTGGGAAAGCTGACTTCAAAAACTGATTTGGAAACCTGACTGGGTAACCTCTCTCGAGATTCTGACTGGGAAACACGACTGAAAAAACTGACTGGGAAACCTGACTGAGAAACCTCACTCGAGATTCTGACTGGGTAACACGACTGAAAAAACTGACTGGGATGGGAAACCTGACTGGGAAACCTCACTCGGGATTCTGACTGGGAAACACGACTAAAAAAACTGACTGGGAAACCTGATTGGGAAACCTGACTGGATAAAGTGAAAACAACAATGGCAAAATCAAAAGAGGGTGAATAAAAGAGGGAGTGATTAAGAGTTTCGTAAGGCAGCTTATACAGTGCAATATGACGATGGTTGGGTGCCTATGGTGTGATGACAATGTAATGGGAACATTGCAGTAGCTTGCATGATGAGAATGGATTATGGAACATGGCAGTTGCTTGCATGTTGAGAATGGATTATGGAACAGGGCAGTTGCTTGCATGTTGAGAATGGATTATGGAACAGGGAAGTTGCTTGCATGATGAGAATGGATTATGGAACATGGCAATTGCTTGCATGATGAGAATGGATTATGGAACAGGGCAGTTGCTTGCATGTTGAGAATGGATTATGGAACAGGGAAGTTGCTTGCATGATGAGAATGGATTATGGAACATGGCAATTGCTTGCATGATGAGAATGGAACATGGCATTGGGAGTATCATAGCAGAGGTTGGTGTCAATAAGATAAATGAGATAGTGGAAAAAAGCATTGGGAAAAGGACAAAGGAATGAGCGGCAATAGGAAAATGAAGGAGGTCAAATGGTCCAAGATGACAGCTTGGTAAAATGGAGAACACCAGGGGGTGAGAATGGCAAGGGAAGGCAACAACAGCAACGACCCAATCTCAAGCCGTTCCATCCTCCCCTCCTCCTGCTTCACTCATCCCTTCCCCCAACACCAGCTTGTACAGGGTTGTTGAACAGCGGCAAGCCGAAGGAACCCGAGGCGGCAAGGCTGCGAATTATGGCGGCTTGCAAAGCAAACAGGTGAAAGCTGTTCAGGACTGGCAGTAAAGAATGTTGTATAAAACAACTATTGTTCAGCTGTCATGGGGGTGTAGCTCACATGGCACAGCGATCGCTTCGCATGTGATAGTTAAGGGGAGGGGAATTGATACCCGTCACCTCCACAGGCCAGGTTGTTTGTTCCCTTTTCTTCTCGCTTTGAAATTTTCCATAAGAATATGCCCCTCTTGTTTGAGAGCCCATGAACTTCTCACTTTTGATCACCACGTCTGTGCAGGGATTCGCACACGGCAGCAGGGAGGGAGGGACAGTGGCCATGGCACATCCTATGACCGTAAGAGGCAAGGGGTACGCAATCAGAGTACCCCACCCAACCCCACCCAACCCCGCCCAACCCCACCCCACCGCACCTCTCTGTCGAGCGAGTGTGCCACTGGGGCTGATGCCTCGTCTGCGCATCTCCTCAGGCAGTCTCAGGATGGGCGTACCGTCTGTAAAGTCCATCACCAGTAGCGGCCTGCGAGAGCCACGAAAAGGCAGGTGGAGGAAAGAGGGGCAAGCAAGAATGCCTCAGTTTAAGAATGGTCTCCGAATGGGCGTGCCGTCTGTAAAGTGGATCACCAGTAGGCGCCTGGGATCGACGTAATGGGTCATGAGAGGGCAAGACAGGAGATGTCTTTGAATTGAGCTGTTCGTTTGGATCTTACTCAACTCTTTCAAGGGTTAGAGTTTTAAGTTACTAATCGTCTCTTTGTTAGAACATCACTGCACTCATGAGCACTAAAGTCCATCACCAGTAGCCCCCTGGGATCGACGTAGTGGGTCATAGAGGGCAAGACAGGAGGCTGAGAACTAGGACAGATGTAAGACGTACTTGAAGTGAGGAAGATTGATGGAAGAACGGGGGAGCAGCGGAGGAAGAGGGGCAGAAAGCCACTTGAACGTGCAGCAGGCAGCATGCACAGCACGGCATCTCTATCTACTAACAGATGAGAGCCATGTGGGGAGGATGTATGACAGAATGGGGCCACAACAACAGTAGCAGTACCTGGCAACGGCAGCACCAGCACCCTTACCTGGTGACAGCAGCAGTAGCAGCACCCTTACCTGGTGACAGCAGCAGTAGCAGCACCCTTACCTGCTGACAGCAGAAGTAGCAGCAACCTTACCTGCTGACAGCAGAAGTAGCAGCAACCTTACCTGGTGACAGCAGAAGTAGCAGCACCCTTACCTGCTGACAGCAGAAGTAGCAGCACCCTTACCTGGTGACAGCAGCAGTAGCAGCACCCTTACCTGGTGACAGCAGCAGTAGCAGCACCCTTACCTGGTGACAGCAGCAGTAGCAGCACCCTTACCTGGTGACAGCAGAAGTAGCAGCACCCTTACCTGCTGACAGCAGAAGTAGCAGCAACCTTACCTGCTGACAGCAGAAGTAGCAGCAACCTTACCTGGTGACAGCAGAAGTAGCAGCACCCTTACCTGCTGACAGCAGAAGTAGCAGCACCCTTACCTGGTGACAGCAGCAGTAGCAGCACCCTTACCTGGTGACAGCAGCAGTAGCAGCACCCTTACCTGCTGACAGCAGAAGTAGCAGCACCCTTACCTGGTGACAGCAGCAGTAGCAGCACCCTTACCTGGTGACAGCAGCAGTAGCAGCACCCTTACCTGGTGACAGCAGCAGTAGCAGCACCCTTACCTGGTGACAGCAGAAGTAGCAGCACCCTTACCTGCTGACAGCAGAAGTAGCAGCAACCTTACCTGCTGACAGCAGAAGTAGCAGCAACCTTACCTGGTGACAGCAGAAGTAGCAGCACCCTTACCTGCTGACAGCAGAAGTAGCAGCACCCTTACCTGGTGACAGCAGCAGTAGCAGCACCCTTACCTGGTGACAGCAGCAGTAGCAGCACCCTTACCTGCTGACAGCAGAAGTAGCAGCACCCTTACCTGGTGACAGCAGCAGTAGCAGCACCCTTACCTGGTGACAGCAGCAGTAGCAGCACCCTTACCTGGTGACAGCAGCAGTAGCAGCACCCTTACCTGGTGACAGCAGCAGTAGCAGCACCCTTACCTGGTGACAGCAGCAGTAGCAGCACCCTTACCTGGTGACAGCAGCAGTAGCAGCACCCTTACCTGGTGACAGCAGCAGTAGCAGCACCCTTACCTGGTGACAGCAGCAGTAGCAGCACCCTTACCTGGTGACAGCAGCAGTAGCAGCACCCTTACCTGGTGACAGCAGCAGTAGCAGCACCCTTACCTGGTGACAGCAGCAGTAGCAGCACCCTTACCTGGTGACAGCAGCAGTAGCAGCACCCTTACCTGGTGACAGCAGCAGTAGCAGCACCCTTACCTGGTGACAGCAGCAGCAGCAGCACCCTTACCTGGTGACGAGGCCTGGTATGGCTGCTGGCACGATGACAGGTGACGCCCGTGTGTCCTCCCACCACCTTCAGCCCCTTGTGCATCCCCAGCACTTGACTTTTTTGCCGCATGACCGACCCTACCTACCCTATCAACCCTATCCGCCCGATCTGCCTCGCTACTCCTTCCACGGTCCACACCATGTCTGCCTGCGCGCCTGGTGCTCCGTATCCCCCCATGCCTCCCCCCCTGCCCCCCTGCCGTCTCGCCCCCGGCCGGCTGTGCCAGGGCGTGTCTGATGTGCTCCATGGCTGCTGCCTCGTGCACAAAGTCAAACTCGTACGGGATCTGCAAAACATAAGGCAGAGGACAGCAGTTGTTGAAAGGGTTTTTGCCATGCCTGCTCTTATGACCTGGTCCCCCCATCTCGCCTCTTGCCGGTTGTGCCAGGGCGTGCCTGATGTGCTCCATCGCGGCTGCCTCGTGCGCAAAGTCAGACTCGTACGGGATTTGATGCACAGGGACGAGGGAGGAGGAAAGGAGGGCACATGATGGGGACCGAGGGCACATGATGGGGACCGAGGGCACATGATGGGGACCGAGGGCACATGATGGGAACCGAGGGCACATGATGGGGACCGAGGGCACCACATGCCCAGTAGTGCCGTTGAGCTGTCTCCATCGTTCATGGCTGCTGCCTCGTGCCCTGTAGCAGTGCCCTGTAGCAGTGCCCTGTAGTGCAGAGCATGCCTTTGTGTCATTTCCAAAGAAAGCAGGCACTGAGGGTTGGGATGCTTGATGATGAGTGCAGTGCAGGACAGTGTGAAGAGCTGCTGTGCTGAAACAGTAGAATCAATGGAGCGTGATACATATGCCTGGGTGGGGTTGTGCACGCTGCATTCAGCATCATGCACGCACCTGCTGCTCGGTGCGCTGCAGGAAGGCACGAAAGAGATGCAGATTCGCAAAGTGGGACAGAGCAGCACACCACTGCGGTGCACCCTGCACCGTGTGCCATGCACCATCAACATACCTGCTGCTCCAGCTCAGAAATGGGACCCAGCAGGTCGACCTTTAGCTCAGTGGAGTCCCATCAGTGGAGTCCCATCAGTGGAGTCCCATCAGTGGAGTCCCATCAGTGGAGTCCCATCAGTGGAGTCCCATCAGTGGAGTCCCATCAGTGGAGTCCCATCAGTGGAGTCCCATCAGTGGAGTCCCATCAGTGGAGTCCCATCAGTGGAGTCCCATCAGTGGAGTCCCATCAGTGGAGTCCCATCAGTGGAGTCCCATCAGTGGAGTCCCATCAGTGGAGTCCCATGAGTGGAGTCCCATGAGTGGAGTCCCATGAGTGAAGTCGCATCAGTGGAGTCCCATCAGTGGAGTCCCATCAGTGGAGTCCCAAACATAGGCACAGTGCAGGGGGGCAGGGTTAAAAAAACAACCGTTTTTTTTATTTTATTTTATTTTACCGTAAAAAAACGGTTGTAAAAAACGGTTTAAAACGGTTGCAGGAGGTGTTTCCTGTTTAACCAACAAAACGGCCACTCATTTGGACCAAATTGAACCCGACATGCAGCAGCATGAAGGGGACGGACCCCTTCTTGCATGTATGCACTTGTTGGCATGATTGAAAATGTTTTTGACCTTGTTTTTCTCTTTTTTTTCTTGGTGAACAGAGTTCTCTAACAAAAAAAGGCCGTTTTTTTTAACAATCACCGTAAAAAACGGACCGTATTTTACGAAAACCGTAATTTTGAACCTTGCAGGGGGGAAACGAGCAAGAGGATTGAGTAGGAGCCGAGTTGAAAGGGCAGGCTAAGGACAAGGCAACGAGCACTATATCAAATTCCACACACTATCAACGTATTGTGCCTTTCACTTCTTCCTTCCCTCTCCCTACCTCATCCGCCCTCATCCCCCTCATCACTCCCCCTCATCTTCCCCCTCTTCCTATCCCCTCGTTCTCTCCCCTTCCATCCTACCCCACCGACCTGGGCAATGGACGCAGATTAGTTAGGTCGGTCGAACCGAGCTTGCAGCTTTCTACCCGTTTTCTTCGTTTGAGAGCCTCGCTCTCCCCTTCCATCCTACCCCACCGACCTGGGCAATGGACGCAGACCCAACCGGCTCCTCCTCAAACTCCGCAAACACGTCTTCCAGCCGCACCCGTGCCACGTCAGCAGCACTTGCCACGTCACTCCCTGCCACGTCAGCACGTGCCAGCTCAGCCTCGACGGTGTGCCCGACGAGAGGGAAGGAGTCGGTGGGCGCACTGTCGTGGAGAGGGGCGAGGCGACGCACCCAGTCTGGGGGGGACACGCCTGGCTTGGCTAGGAACTGCCCTGCCTGGTATAGTGAGGAGGAGAGTGGGGGGGGGGAAGTGGGTTCAGGGTTTAGAAACATGTCTGGCTTGGCTAGGAACTGGCCTGCCTGGTGGGGAGAGAGGGGGTGAGGTGAAGGGAAAAGGAAAGAAGGAAGAGTAGAGGAGTGAGGAAAGGAGATGAAATCGCACCCAGGCTGGCGGAGACATGTCTGGCTTGGCTACGAACTGGCCTGCCTGGTGGGGAGAGGAAGGGGGAGCGGGAGGGACCGGAAGGAAGGGGGAGGGATTATATCCGAGAGATAGCCATGCAGTGGTGAACTAGAAATACGTGCGTGAGCATGGGTGCAGCGGCCGTACGTTGAGAAAGAAGCCCGTGCGAGGAGCATCTCCGTGCAGAGCGAGTGCAGTATTTCCGCCGCTGTTTGTTCCCCGCGCCGTGGCACTTCTCCCCTTGTCATGCGAATGCCATGGCGCGCCGGACATTCCGCTACGGAATTGCGACTCCGCCTGCACGATCCGATCCTGCAGCCATCCCGCGAGCTCGGCGCGCAACGAATCGGGGTTCGAGCGTGCGGTAGAATCACTGCTGCGGTCGGTCGACGCGACAAGACTACGCGTCATGATTAAATGAGGAAGGTTACGATGGCGATAACGACGTTTCTTGGAAGTTGACGAGCAAGTGGTTAATGGGAGGCAGTTTTCGAACGAAATCATTTCCGCATCGGCCTGACATGGCGGGACGATGTAGTTGTCGAATATCACTATCTCGGCTATCAGACATTGCATAAACGAGAACGAATAACCCTACACGAGGTAAGGAGTTGTCAAGTGATGGAGGACGCCATAAATTGTTTCGTGTGAAAGGTTCTTCTGCTGCAGTCCCTGACGAGCGTGCTTGCAATGTGGGCAACATCGCACACGGTTTGCGATTTCTGGCAACGTCTTCGCCAGAGTTTACCCGTGTGCGACACATCAGTGGGTGTGTGAAACAGCGAACTCCGTAGCGAAAAGACGATGATGAAATTCTTAACTATCGCGAGAGCCATCCCCAGGCTAGTCCTCTATCGCCATGTCTGTTACACATGGAAAACCGCGTTACACGCTGGAACCTGCGCATTATCCTTCGCCAATGCTTTACTCGCACGGAATTCGTGCGCTGTTTTCCAGAACGGTAATTTGAATACAACCGCGCTCAACCGTGTTGGAATTGACTGAACGACACTCCCGAGGGATCTGCACCTGCCCGAGAGACATGTTACCACTCCGCGCCACACTGCACCTGCCACCATCTTGCACCTTTGGTTTATCGTGTTGCCTCTGTCTCTCCAAACCAAACATTCCTGGCCGTCTTTTTCCTCGGTTGTTCAATTGCTCTCGCTCACTTGCCTTCCCTTCCCGCACTTGCCGCTAACACACGTGCTCTGCCGATTTCTTCCCCATTCCATTGGCACCACAAACCAATCACCACAATTCCTGATACAGCCGCTCTGGCCGTCTTTCTCCTAGAATTATCGGCGTCACTTGGATCGTACGGCAGCAAAGCGACGGAAATGACCCAACTTGGAGTTGATCGGAAGCAAGAGTAGTTCGACGTGGTCCAGCGGATTTCCCGCCGTGAGTCTCGCCTGCCGTGAATCTCGTTCCTTCCGAACCAACCGTCGCTGCAGGAACGAGATTCACGGTGAAGTTCCTTAGGTGATTGGTATCACTGGGGCCGTGGGGTTACCAATAATCAAAACTCACGGGCCTCGGACCGCACAGCAGAATGACGGACGCAACTGAAACTGGTGTTGCCTCGTGTGCAGTCCGATCCGCAGTGCGCCTTGGCCCTGACGGCGTTCAAAAGGGACGGTCCCGCTGTGACTTCATTTCATTCCTTTCAAACCAACGAACCTAAACGATGGCGGATATGCGTTTCCTTTCAGCTACATTGGCATGGGTGATAATAGTCGTGCTGATAGCTCTCAATCCGACACCTGCGTCAGCGGTTCGCAACGCATTCAACTTCTCTCCCATGCCTGCTGGAAAGGTGGACCCGCGCATGCTTGCTGGGAAGTTGCGCCCGGGCACGCCTGCTGGAAAGGTGGACCCGTGCAAGTCCAACCCGAAAGCAAACCCCGCGTGCGATCCGTTCTGGGAGGACGTGGCCGTCAAGTACTCGCCGCAGTACAAGTTCCACCCGCTCGAGACCATCTGGCCAATCACGATCGACGAGTACCTCAAGCACGTGACTGCCTCCAAAGGTTTTTATACTGCGGGTGGTAAACAGCAGGAGGTTACATACCAGGAGGGCCCGATCACTCTCGACAACCTCAATACATTGCTGGAGAATGTGAATCTGAAGAGCGAGTTTAAAAATACTGTCCTGTGGACTGGGGATAAGTTAAGCTGGGCGAGCGACCCGGCACGCAACCCGAAGAACGGAGGCACGAAGCTGTACACCGTCATTTACAATCCGAAACCCGGCGACAAGAACTCGTTTGTGGAGATTCAGTATTGGCTCTTCTACCCTTACGTAAGTATTCCAAGTGGTACCCTGGTTTCAAGTACTTCCTTGTGTCTTCCCTCTCTCACTACCCATGTTGTCAATCTGTTTCAACTATTCAACCCTTGTGGTTTGCAGAACTATGTCAACCGCGCTGCTGGGGATTCGAACCACGTGTCGGACCTGGTGGCGATTGCAATTCGTTTCTCAAAGACCGGCCAGCCGCAGCGCATTTGGTACGCGCAGCACGGCCACGGCCCCGTGTGGGCGTGGGACCAAGGGGCTGACTGGGCCGACAAAAAGTCAAAGAAGAAGTTTGCTACGGTGTTGGGAACGCTTCCCATTGTGTATGTCTCCAAGGATAACCATGAGCATTACACTGGAGTTGGTGAGTAGTAGCTCGAGTAACACTCTGCATCTTGTCCGCCCCTCACCTAGGCAAAGGCTGAACCCTGTTGCTGCTCTGATTTTCTCTTTCACTCGCAGGTGATTTCAATTGCATTGTCCTTTGTTTCGATCGCACGGCCAACGGACTCGCATGGGCCCCCTTTGACAACCCGAAGTCCGCATTCGAGTTTGTGCACGTGAAGAGCGAAATGTCCGATTTCATGCCGAATGCAGCCAGGGCGAAGCTATTCACGGGGAGAAACAAGTGGATGGCTTTCAATGGGAAACTTGGTGGATTTTGTAAGTGTGTTTGCCCTTCAAGCACGGTGTGTAGAGAATGCTTTGGATGATGGGTGCTGACTTTGCTTGCTTTTGTTCTCAGTTGCGAAGATGCCGTTCCCCTACACATCGGGACTCAAAACTGGAGTGAGCGCGATATCTTCCAGAAGGACCAGGGGCAGGTAAGCTTGTGTTGGGTTACTTGACGTCTTGTATGTTGTCTTGGCATGAAATGCAAATCGGTGTCTAATGTTTCTTCTTGTTGCGCCTACAGTTCACTGCCAAACTAAGAAAGAAGTAAGGGGCGAAACCCTGAGGGGTGCTTGCTTTGAGAAGAGGCAGCATGGTACAAAGTGGAAGTGTGGCATGGGGCAACCCCAGCATGGTTTGAGTGGGGAGGGGGCCTTCTTCTCTTCAGCAAAGCGACTCTCCTGGCCCCTTAACGCTTGGCACCGACCAAGTTCCACCATCATAGAGTTAGCTCTGAATAAGACGTGACGTGCTCCTCCTCTTGTTGCACGTTGCCAATTGTCCTTGCTTGTGGGTGTGCTGAAGTGGTGTGCTGGTGTGGGTGGCCATGAATGACCTATTTATTACGCTATGTAACCAGGAGTAGTGTAGTGCATGACAAGTTCACCATCGTCATGAACAAAGACACAAACTCAAAGTTCACATAGGTACGCACATCAAGGACAACTAACACGTGACCATGCATGGAAAAAGGGACCCCCCATCATTCTCTGAACAGTCTCAACAATCTGGCATAGGCAACGAGTTGACGCGGTCGGTGTGACCTGTCATGTCTTCTTGACCTGAGTACCCAGCGAGCTGGCAATGAGATGCCGGTTATCACGGCTGTACACCAGGCTCTAACCAGACACCGGGCAAGTACAATGTTGAGTTTGCTAGTGTAGGCAACGAACGTGTCGGGCTTCTCTTGTTGCAGGTTGCCATGTGCCTTCCGTTCCCTAGTAGAGTGATGTATTTAGAAAGCTTGCTTTCTTGTGTTTGCAATGGCAACGTGCTTCGTTTCAAATGGGCATTACAACATTCTCGTCCGGCTAAGTATACATACCTACATTACAACATGCAGTTTTTGCTAGGGTGGGTGGGTGGGAAATAATGCAGTTGAAATTTCAAATGAAGACGTGGGTGGAGGCCAAATGGCCTCCACCCCCTGCTATATAGTTGGCGAAGAGCGTCTAGCACTTCGCGGTTGCCATTGCTGCATTACAAGCAGCTTCGCTTTCAAAATACACATTTTTAGAAAGTGTTACACACTTTCAAAAAACTTCATATTTAGAAAGCTTGCTTTCTTGTGTTTGCAATGGCAACGTGCTTCGTTTCAAATGGGTCTTCTGAGACATGCGACGGGAGTTGTTGATCGTTTGCGAGATGACATGTGGGTGGTGGTCCGCTCGCACACGGAGCGGATCAGGGCCCAAAATATCAGGGTAAAATGCCCTGATTACCCTGGGGGCCGGCCGTTTTTTCAGAGTTACCCTTTCAAAATCAGGCTTCCAAGATTTTTTCCCTTACGCAAAAAGAGTATTTTTTTTTTACACTGATAGCGATTTCAGCTACCCTGGCTGTATCAGGGTGCGCTGTACATTACACTGATACAGAATCCTCTGTAGCGAGGATTTTCGTTGCGAAATGGAAAAACTGATCCAATCGCCCACAGGATTTGAACCCGCAACCTTGAGATCTGAATCTGCACATATAACCAACTGAGACACATACCAAAAGTTTCGTATTGAATTGTAGCACATCGTGCCTAATTGTGAAAGCTTGCGATTTGCCTTGCAAATGCAACGTCTCATTTCAACTGGCAAGTACAAGATTTTATCGTCCAAGCATCATACAACATTCAGAGCTATCATGTACGTTATGCTAGGGTGGGAGGGTGGGAAACTTGAAATTGAAAGTTCGAAATGAAAACGTGGGTGAAGGCCAAATGGCCTTCGCCCCCTCTTTTGTACCAAAAAGAGGGGAAGTAGCGGTTCGCCGAAGCCTTTGCTTCGGTACAACTCGCTTCGCTATTCACAATACACAATTTTGAAAAGTGTTACACACTTTAAAAATTTTACATATTGTGAAAGCTTGCGATTTGCCTTGCAAATGCAACGTCTCATTTCAACTGGGTCCTCTGAGACATGTGGAGAGAAGGTTGACGGTGCCTCGTGATGGCGTGATGATGCTGTGAGGGGGACGGTGCGTGAGCTTGATCCTGAATGTTACGAGATGCTGCAATAAGATGATCCTGCGAGATAGTCACGTATAGGTCCTTTGCTGTTTCGCTTCGCCAGCGCCCAAGGCGTTTGAAGATGCGATCTGGGACTCCCGCACTGGCTGCGACGGTGGCTGCTCCTTTGCGAAAAGAGTGGGTGCCGAGGTGTGTTGGGTCGATTCCTGCGGCTTCGAATGCCTGCATGCACCATGCACGGATTGTGGGGTATGATGGGGCTTTATCTAATGGGGACGGCGGTGCATTGCGGCGGAAGATACGTATCAGCGGCCCTCTGGTTGTCGGCCCGTATTCCGCTAGCCTGATGAAATGGCGGGTGCACCGCACCGGGCAGAGCGGTCCATCCGACGTAGCGACGGGGACCCACACGCCCTTGCCTTCCTGGTCTGTCTTCGAGTGTGGGATCAGAAGCCACATTGCCGTTGCCTCAAATTGGATGTCCTCCCATTGGATTGCCACTAGATCTGAGAAACGCAGGAATGTAGCGTACATGAGCAGTACGATGAGGCCTTTCTGATAGATGCCCGGTTGGCTCGATTGGAGAAAAGGCCTAGCCATGCGTGGACCTGATGAAGGGAGACGGGTTCCTTCACCCGTGCTGGTCGGGGGCAGTGTCTTTTGGCGTAATCGCGCACTTGTGTCGTGAAAGGGCCCCATGTTGGGTTGGCGGAGCCTGTCATCCTATGGGCGAAGCTGAACGCGGCACAGGTGAGCTGCACGCTAGAGACGGTCGCCTTGTGGTTGATCGCATGTACGAGGTAGAGTGCTACTGTTAGGTCCGCAGCGGGAAGAAATGCCACTTTCGCTTTGACGCAAAAATTCCTAAACTTCTCCCAGTAAGGTTCGTATGTGTGGATTGTCGAGTCGGACCGTGTCTGGGCTGTCATTAGGAGTAGCTGTTGATGCAGCTTCGGGATCAGATCTGTCATCATAAAGAAAAAACATGAACGGTACATCAATGATTGAATTTCAGTTGAAGTGCGAGGATTCTGCTAACAGGGAGACCAGCTCCTGATAATGCGCCGGTGTGCGAACCAACATGCAGACACTGGCTACCGCTAGCAAGATGTAGACACGATGTTATTCCTGATGCCCAAGCCTTTGGTGATGGCCGGAGCAAGGGCCACCATGACGCTCCCGTCCATTCGGGAATGACTAACGTCAGAGAGGCAGAGGTGCGCTTTGCGTGACGCAAGGTGGCGGGGATCAGGTGTGGAGGGGGGAAAGCAAATCCGTGTTCTGCTCCCCAGTCTTGCGAGAAGGCATTGACGGCCGTTAAGTGTGGGTGGGGAACCTTCGAAAAGAAGCGCGAGAGTTGTGCATTATTGGCATTGGCAAACAGGTCGACGGTGTGGGGTCCCCAACGCCTCTCCAGCAACCAGAACCAAGGGAGTTTCAGCGAGTAGTCGTCGTTATCTTCCAACTTGGAAAGTGCGTCTGCCTCCATGTTGAGTGCACGAAGGATCCATTCGATTGCCAGCCGGATTTCGTTCGCCATGCAGTGAGCGATGATGGACTTGCACAGGAGGGTGAGCTCGGGTTTCCCAGAACCGCCTTTACGAAGAATGAAGAATACGCCTTGGTTGTCGACTCGCATAAGCACATGGCGGCCCTTAATTTGATCGGAGAATGTACGCAGGGCCCAGAGCACACCTTCGAGCTCTCGACGTGTGCTTGAAGTGGTAAGGAGCTCGTATGGCATCGGGCTGCTGCCTTGCAGGTTTTTACTTGGGAAGGAAGCTAGGGTCGCACCCCAACTATGAGCGCTTGCGTCGACGTGAATCACTGAGTCGATACTGTGGGGCATGTGAAACGGTGCCCCGTTAAAGCGATCGAAGTTTTGAAGCCAGAAGTCGAGCTCGTCGCGAGCCTCTGGGGTTAGGTGTATCCTGGCATTCCATGATGGTGCTGCGTTGATGAGCTCTAGGAGTTGATGACTGAATGCGCGTGCTGTTGTACCAAGGGCGAGCGCCATGGAAGCGAGAATGCCGGTGACCCGTGCGACTTGGCGGATTCGTATCCGTTGTCGACGCTCGAAAGCGGTGAGGAGCACCCGTAGCGTGTGCATGAGTTGTTCCCGACGTTCGGGGGATGGTGAATCTCCCGGATTGAGTGTCCAACTCCATCCCCAGAAATCGCAGTTTCTGGATCGGAATGGGGTGCGATTTTTTTGCGTTGATGACAAGGCCCGACCGTCGTAGGTCGCGAATGATTGCCTCACGTATCGTGCATGCGTCCTTCTCCGAACTGCAGAGAAATAAGATGTCATCCACATAGGGAATGACTCGGGTACCTTGCGCTCGCCATCTTCGAGCCAGTTGTTTGATCAACTGAGTGAAAAGGAAGGGTGCCGTTGCGAGGCCGAACGGTAACGACTTGAAGTAGTAGTCCGTGCCATCGAAGTGAAAACCGAGGAACTTTTAGCCGGATGGGTGAATATCAATGTGGTGGTATCCAGACTTCAGGTCGATTGAGAACATCCAGTCGCCAGGTTGTGCCAACTCGGCGACTCGAACCAAGCCTTCGTACTTGAATTTTGGGATGAAAAGGTACTGATTGACTTTCCTCAAGTCCAAGATGAGGCGACACTTGTCACGTTGCTCCACGACGTTGAGTGGACTAGTACATACCACGGCATTCGGGCCGACTGCGATTGCTGCTGCACCGGATGAGAGCAAGTCCGAAATTGCGGATCGTGTGAACTCGTTGTGCCGCTCCACACCGGCATGGTTCTTGTCGCAAAACGACGGTGGTGGCAAAGCTTTCCAGGGGAGCCAGTATCCATTAGATATGACCGACAGGATGAGACTACTCTCGCACCATGAGGCCCACCAAGCGAAAGCTTGGCGTAGTCGACCCCCCATTATGGTTACTTCCTTGTCGGTGATCGCGTGCTCCATAGGTTTACTCCATTCACCCAGTCGTGAGGAATACGGGCCTGCCAAGTGGTTTGTTTGGGCAACAAGAGTGGCGTGTCAACCCTTTCGGTTCGAACCACAAGATACCATGTGCAGACAATACCAAAATAAGGAAGAAATGGTC